TGAAAAAAGTTAAATATATGAAATAATAATTATATTAGAAGTTCATATATTATGGCATATAAAGCTATGTTAAGGTCAAATACTCCAGTTAAGAATCAACAACTAGTAATTTTTCTTGGCATTTAAATTCAAGTTATCATAGTACCTATTGTTGCTCATTATCTCTTATTAAGTAAGTTGTGCCTTTGCAGCTGCTCAAGAAGCAACAAAAGCAGAAAATACTGGGGTTACAAACTCCGTTGATCAGAAGAAGTCTCAATCTGCTGCTGCTTCTGGAATTGAAGATTTATTCAAGGATTTACCATCAATTGTGCCTTCTGCCTCATCGCAGAAGCCACAGAAAGATGCTAAAAACGATATAATGAGCCTTTTCGACAAGGTACAACACAACAAGAATTTGGATTTTTGGTCATGTCTATCTTTCCTCCTTTATCTAATAACGTTGTTGTCATTTACAGTCCAATATTGTGTCACCTTTTGCTATGCATCAACAACAACTTGCTATGCTGGCGCAACAACAGTCTTTACTGATGGCTGCGGCTGCTGCAGGTGGTGCTGTAAGACTTCCTGTAAATGCACAACAAAGCACTAATGGCACCAATATGGTAAATCAGAACTGGCCAAATTTAGGCTATCAGTTCCCTGGAGTGATAATGCCAGCAGCTGGTAAGACTGAGCTGGAGAAATATATGCAGGTATAACACGAGTACTATTTATCAAAGATAAAGAGAAAAAAACACACGGATATCTGATTAAATATTGAAATTTTCTTTAAGTTTCTTTACTCAAAGCTGTTTATTTTTCTTCTAAACTAGGTAGGCAATATGGGACCAGCACATGTAGTTGGAAACTCTGTGCCAATTCCAGCATCCAGGTATTAACCTCTGATCGTTGTTAGTTAATGTAGAACTTCAACTGTTCTTTGAGGGCCTAATGTTTGGTCTATAAATTCAACAACTTAATCCAATGCATCTATCCTGCCAATTATTTGTCATTAAGATCTCTTAAATTATGACCCCTTAATGCTCAATGTAGTGTATCCATTAACTGTTTCTTCCATTTGATTTAAAGTATCCCTCCTCTTACTCCTCTTGTTAATAATGGGTTGCGGACAGACCCCATTGAACAGTATTTTTTTAATCCATAGCTACATCTCCGGAGGTATATGATCAATTTGCATTGACAAGCTCAGTTGCCAGTCATCTTTGACTTAGTTTAATACTGATGTAGGTTATTGAATCAGTTGAACAAATTTTGATAGTTGTGCTATCTATCGTATCCAGGAGGAACAAATTTTTGGGTGCTAGTTAATTTTTCATCTTTTGATGCTCATAGTTGATCTTTTGTTCTGCAGCTTCTACTCAATGGGACAGAACACTTCCAGCAACGGTATTGTGCCGCCAGGACCAAGCAAGCAAGCAGCTACCCCGATATCATCAAGCTCCACACAGTCAACAAAAGAATTCGACTTTTCATCCTTGACACAGGGTATGTTCACAAAACGCTGAAAAACCAACAAGGAAGCATACTAGCTATTAGTATACAAATTGTTTTTTTTTCCCACAGGAAATTAGCTTTTGTTGTTCTACTCCTGTTTTGGAGATTGTAAACTAAATGTAGAGGACCAAATATTGAGTTTTCTTTAAGGTGATGGCTTGATTTGTATTTTTGTATCTGGAAAAATAAGCTCTCAAAGATTGGATGGTATTCGATTCTTTTCCTACCTTTTACTGCTTTGTATTCATGTTTCTAATTCTAATATTGTGAGTGATCTTCTTTAGCAGTAACAATTATATGTTTAGTTCCATCTTTGGGGTTGATTAAAATATACTACTGTATTCTATTTTCATCTGGGAATAAGATGATTAAAGAATCCTCCAGTAGAGATTAGCACTGTCAAATTGTTATAAATTCAACGGCAAATAATTATTTTATATAGCATTTTGAAGTAGATTAGACTACACTAATGTGTAAGACTACCTTACAAATTGAAGTCTTTATTCAAAAAACTAATCCACTCAAATATCTGCCCATGGAAAATGGTAAGTAGACCAAAACACGTGTCAATTATCCATTTGATGGACGGTAACAAGATATATGACTGTTTTTACACTCAAAAAGCTCAATATATCAACATCCTTAGTAGATTTACAAACTCAAATTATAGTTTGTTTCGATTAAATACTTGAATCTATAATGAAGTGTCTATCTAGAAAATTTAAATTCAAAATTTAAAATTATTTTTGTGCATCTTTCAAGTGTTCATCATCCTTGACTGAAACATGAAACAAGCACGAGGGTCTACGGCTTATTAAGGCTAATTCATATAATTAAAAACGTGCCATATTTTAAGTAGTTATCTGATGTATATAACGAGCATTTGAAGAAAACACATATTTCTTTTAAAAGAAGATTGAACTATACAGTCTAACAAGATACTATTTTATGTGTTTACGTTTTCAATTAATACAAGTCATAGTTTAAGCGTCTAAATAAAATTTATCGACAAAATTGAAAAATTATCGATATATTAAGCCTACACAAAAGTAATACAAGGTATTTATATATTTACTTTCCAGTAAGATAAAAAGTGAATAAAGTTTTTCATGAATTAACATTTATGTACCACTTTTTTCCTCGATGATCATCACCATCGAGAAACTCTCAACCCCACGAAGTGAATCACAGACACAGTACACACTACACAAATAGTACTATTTTTACTCTGTTAAATCTACTTATCTACAGTCTGTGAAGGAGTTTTAAAGTTTTAAATTTGTGTACGTAATTCCAAGTAAAAAACTTTACGTATTTTAAGTTTGAAATTAAAGCAAATGTAATTTGATCGCTGTGAGACTCTTAGCCATGAAATATAGTTGAAAAATTGGAGTGCTCAAGAGCTAGTAGCTGCCACTACTTAGTTTGGTGGATGAAATTGAAGTTCAGTTCTCGTATACAAACACAACTCAAATGTGTAATGTATTTAAAGGAAACTTCCACTCTTGTCCTTAAAAACGAGAAAGTCAATTAAAATACAACTTTATAATTGACTTTTATAGTTTTTTTACCTTCGAACTTGATTGGTACTATGCTAAATCGAAATTTGGTTGGGATCAGACTCTAAAAATTTTTTTAGAATAAATGATTTTGTACACATATCGAACACAATAATTTTATAAATTGAAATAATTTATTTATCTTTACCATCGTGACACGCTCTTTCATACACACAAAGCTATTTAAATATATATTTTGATACATATATAGTTGGATTATGTATAAAGGTGATATTAATAAAAGACAAAATCGATAAAGAATTCGAACTATGTAGTAATATTTTAATCCCTCATATTAACATTATAACAAAACATTAACGTGGACGTGGAATATTTATATTGTGAATTCATTTATGACAAAGTAGATAATTAGATGGATCGATTCGATGGTTGACTATTTATTAAAAAAAAAAGAATTTAAACAGTTTCACAAATGTGTTGACTAGTAATATAAGAGTAATAATATATCGTCAGTGTGCATATGTGGTTTGAGCATGTGAGAGCATCAAGTTATTCATGTGCTAGTATACAACGCACTAACCGACTCTTTCTTAATAATAAAATTAAAATTTTCGTTAAAACATAAATAATAAATACATGAAAATGATAAAAAGAATTTAATATCTATGATTATTATATAAACAAAAGTAATTGTACTTTAAAAAGAATCTAAAACTCTTTGATTCTATTTAGCTCCATCCTAAAGAGGGTTTGAACCCTCTAGATTCGAATCACCTAAAATATAAGTACAAATAAATTTTCTCAAGAATGTTGGATTTTACGTGTTAACATGTATATAAATATTGTATAAAAAAAAAATTATACTGAATATTTTTTATATATATATAATATAAACTGAAATTTTTTTTAAAAAAAAATAGGAGATGGTCCAGAATGGTCGGTTACGGGAGCGGCACACCGACTGATTTGGTCACATGCCCACTCTCTTGCTAACACTTTCCGGAGCTAACGTTAGCTTCATTGTTTTTTTCATAATATATATATATATATATTACGAATCGGAAATATATTATATTTTATTCAATTATCTTTTTTTATTTTTATAATTTTATATCGAGATATCTATATACCTCTTTATTACATACTCAAGTTATCTCGATATCACCCATTGAATTTTGTCTGCCGCAAGGCTATCCATCTTGCTAGTATATTTTTGTGTCTCTTAATATGCCTACACGTTAAAATAGATTTATTTTAGCTATTTATTTAATTCTTTTTTATCTTCTATTTTATATTTAGTATTCAATTGAAATATCAAATTAAATTAAATTCACTAAAAATTAGGTATATTTAAACTAAAATATTGTTGGCCAAATAAAATTTCTTTGAGAGCTCATCTTGAAACATATGATTAAGATACTATTATTATTTGATTAGAATATTGAAAATACATTTTTGCAAAGTCAAATTCCTAAAGTTATTAATTGTCCAACTAAACCATGTAACTTCCAATGAAACTATTTCAATTCTCAAGAGTTCACACTAGTTTTTCTCTTTAATTCATTTTTAAATCTTCAAATGGCGTTAAATGCCAAATGAAAATCACCTTACATTCCGGCCGATCGGATCGACTGGTTGGGAGAATAATTTTTCAGATAAATTACCACAAATTTTCTTGTCTAATTAAATCAAAATATTTTTTTTTAATCACTTGAAATAAAAAAGACATCTATTTTTGTTTAATGATACAATCAATATTTCTAAGGAAATATACATATAGTTTTAAACGTTATGAATTTTTATATTTATAAACTTTTGTAAAGAGTAAAACTATATTAAATGAAAGGAGTATTAAGATTAGCTTAAAATGAATTGTTTTATGTAAAGCCAAAAGGACCTTTCCAGACTTGTCACGGTTTAATAATGAAAAAGGGAAAAAAAATTGTATTTATAAGTAACGGCTCGTTTATCTGCCTATTTATATAAAATAAAGTTGGTATAAGTGTGACTCTTCATTCTCATTACGCTCTTCTCCTAAATCCCCAAACTCATAAAGCAAAAACTGATAACAACGGTCGGAGCTTGTCGCCGGCGAGAGAAAAAATGGCGATTTTGTTTCAAAGTTCAAGTAGCTCCATGTTATCTATCAAAGTTTTTCTGATTTCGACTACTGTTTTATCTGCTGCTATTATGTTAAAGGTGTCTGCTCCTGTTGTTACTGAATTCGCGGTCAGTGAAGTTCCGTCGATCTGGAACGGTGTCGTTTCGTGGCTTAAACCTCCGTATCTATACCTTGTTATCAACTGCATTATCATTACGATTGTAGCCTCTTCTAAGTTGCAGAACAAGCTTGATGAGAACTCATCTCCGGTGCCGGCGGTTGTTTCGCCGGAGAACTCGTCCCAGTTTCACCCGATTAAGGATGTAAGGCCGGTTACAGACTATTATACACCGGTCCTTCATGACTTAAACGGCTCCGTGCTGAAGAATCAAGCAGTGGAGGCGGAGGCTAGACCGATAGTTTACGAGTATCCTACTGCTGGTGTTTATGATGCAAAGGTCGAGAAACTTCCAGTAGTTAATCCGTACATATCGGAGAAAGGTACATCGTTCAACACCTATCCGGAGCCTAACGATGTTGTTGCTGAAAAGGATGATTTCGTAATCTCGAAATCTTCTTGGGCGCCGGTGATGAGACAGGACTCTATTGATTATTCCATTTCAGGCAACTCGGCTGAGAAACCTCCTGCTTCTGCCAGATTCGCTCACCGGAGAAATGTCAAATCCACTCCTGAAGGTAAATTATATTCCTCACTTTTTTTTTCAATTGTATTTTCCTTGTGTGTGTATTAATTCAGTCAAACTAACTACTAGGCTCGCCGGAACAGTTAGAAGTTTTAAACTTAGTTCTCAATTTGTTTTGCATCTCCGGCGAAATTAGCCGGTAACGGTAACTTGCGGTTCAAATTCTCTTGGGATTGTTACCGTTGGGAGCAGGTTCGGCTGCTGGATAATTAGGTGCTTGTCAGACCGTAGAACCTAGTGGTCCTATACCTAAGCAATTAAATTTTAAATTCAAATTTAAATATAATCATTAAGACCCTAATTAATGGACACTTTTCCCTAAATGGTGCATAAAGCAGCTTATTAATCACAGATTTGTTCACCTTAACACCAAAAATAATTCATATTAAGAAACGGTGGAAAATTAACGTAAAACGACAAATACGTGATTTTTTAAAATTGCGTAACTGAATACTGACACCTCCTCACATTTCCACAACGATAAGCTCAGCAATAAGTCGTGTATATCCATTTTCTTGACTAATCCAAAATACATGTATTTTTTTATATTATCCTATCGTAGTGATTTAATCGTGATAAATTAGTATGATTCGATTAAATTTTTGTTAACACAGGTGGAAAGGGAGCATTGAGAGTATCAAAACCTAAACGGCAAGACACGCTGGAGAGTACATGGAAGACGATAACGGAGGGCCGTGCAATGCCACTAACGAGGCACCTGAGGAAATCGGACACGTGGGAGACATACGGTGGTCGGAACCCGGTTACACCACCACCGCAGAAGATGAAGAAATCTGAGACGTTCAATGACAGAACTACCCCTGACTCCTCGCCATTGCTGACTCCGTCCCCGGGTGGTTCAGGGAAACTTAAGAAAGAGCCATCGCTAAGTCAAGACGAGCTGAACAGGCGAGTTGAAGCGTTTATTAAGAAGTTTAATGAAGATATGAGGTTGCAGAGGCAGCAGTCGATGCAACAGTACACTCAGATGATCAATCGAGGCTCACATTAGGAGTTTTTTTCATATAAACAGAGAAGCTCTCTCTTTTTTCATGTTTTATGGCTTATAGTGAATGCATATTGTTATTTATTCATATTTCTTTTATCGAGAAATTCTCCCAAAAAAAACTAAAAAACTACAGGAAGCTGTAATCCAGTTAGAACATAGACTATATTATCGGAAAGTTTGAGTTGTAATGTTTTATTTTTCTTTCATGTGGATATTATATGGCCTTAACATGTGATCGAACAGTGTTGTGTTCTCCATACAGAAATTGAAATATTTTTATTGATTTTTGAACAATTTTCAGTATAGTTACTAAAACAGTGTAGGACCATCTTCTGGGATATGTCTAGATGATAAGAATGAAGGATGCAAGAAAGAACAGCTTGGTTAGTTGAGGCTATTAATGCTTAATCACAACAAGTGATGGGTTCAAATTCCGTAATGAGACTTGCTGCATGACCAATGTGAGGTAGGGAATAGTAGTTCGTCCAAGGGTCAATTTATAATCCTTGTGATCCTTGTTTTTTCATTATTTTCCTAATATGCTTCATTTGAGTCGATGGTCTATCAAAAGTAGTTTCTCTACCTTCACAATCACCAACAGTAAGATCACACTTGGTATATTATGGATGTTTTTACTAAAGGTTTTTATATATGAAACTATGGAAATAGCATACAAACCTCTTCGTAGGGTCATTGTATTCCCTTGAACGGAATGTCATGACAATGTGTTGAGACCATTTACTCAAACACAAGAGTGAATGTCCTTATTTAGTCAAGCTTGACAAAATTGGACAGCCCGAGTATGGATGTCAATTGAAATACCAATAACTTTATCTATTTATGATGAAATCATGAATGTGAATGAACTTGCTGGTCCAAGAAGTTTGTTAGGAGATGATCCCCCATTCTTCATTAAACCACTGCATTCAAACTCAATCTCCAACAGGCTCTGCCAAAGCCATACTTGTGATACAACCATGAAGCTGGATACCCATCTCTTTATTAATTGCTTCCTCCTAACATATTATTCTCAACATACTTACTTTTTTACTTTTTGGGGTCTAGTCAAATTTAACTTCTCTCATCCAAATTAAGTATCAAGAATATAGCAGATGATTAACAAAACAAATTACAGTTCATCGAAAGGTTGTATTGGTTATAAGGTTTAATCTATTTACACAAGTGTTGTCATGGACGTTACATTCTCATACATACATAATTCAATTTTTTCTTATTTCTATTGAAAGATGTTATCCAGTATGGTATCAATAAATATGATCTAGGTTTTACAACCTGTTGTAGGAGTGGAAGTCGTTTGAACAAATCGTACCTTTGCTTCCTCACTAGTTTGGAACTTTGATCTATGTAACTCCTGGTGCTTTGCCTGAGCATTCGCAACTCAAATACTAATGAAGAGAAGGTAAGCTCATTCCCGTTTCAGTTATTGCTATGTGAATAACTGATTAGTCTACATAGCCATCGTCACCGGAAAAAGCTTGTCGAGAAAGGTATAGACACCCCCTCCTAGTAGTAGCGCACCACTGCCAAATAAATGATTGAGAAGACAAATATCTGGCTGAGTACTTAAAGAACGTGTTTAAGATGGTAATAGAGATGAAGTATTGCTGCAGAGAGATTTAAGCTTTCTCTTACTAATAGTGTCATTAGTTTTCATAGACAATTACCTGATTGGATTGATCCATGCTGAGAACTTGCGGAATGAAAGTATACTCTGCAAATGACACGTTCAGTTATTCAGTGCTTAAATGGTGAAATATTATAATGAACATATGCAAGCAACAACTCTAGGCAAAAGTAGTAAACTTAAGCTATAGTAAACCCCAACTATCAAAGCATATTTCTTTTTTCTTGTACACAGATAGCGAGCGGTCACTGTAGGAAACATGACAGAAGCCAAGGAAGCAGCATGAATGGCGTTGAATTGGAGAAAGAATTCTTAAAACAATGTCTTCCCATTTAAAATGTAGAGCTACATAAAATGGGTGCTGCGACAAGAGGTCCATGAACCATCTAAAAGCTGCTGTGATCATAATAACAACCATTTGGAACATACAAAATACCTGCAATGCTCCAGCAAAAGAAGCAGCAAGAAGTAAGGGAGTAACATAGCCAGTTGTGTATGTCAATAGCAAGCTGCCCCCAATAACTGGATCCTGTTATAGAAGATTATTAAGAAGCTATTCCTATCCAATGTAGTTTATAAACAAAATAAATAACATAAAGATACTGCAGAATTCATATGGTCAAAGGCCAAAAGCCAGGTGCTGAACTATTTGATTTAAGGCATGCATTATAAAATACTTCTGTTTGAACGAAATCCTGATGACATAATAATTCCCTACAAGATTAAGCAAATCAACAGATGGTGGTTATATGATGGTGCTTTTTGTAGGTTAACTTTTTTCTTGGAAGACTACCTTTCCAAAGAACTAAAAGAGAATCATGACAACCGAAAAGTCAAAATTTGCAGTACCCGAGAAGTAGCAACATAGCCGAGCAAGGTTGCGAGGACTGGTGTACTGCATGGTGATGCAGCTAATGCAAATGTAAGACCGGCCAAATAAGCTTGAACACCTAGGCAGTCAAATGTATAAAATGTCAAATCATAATATCTGGCTTATTGAGACCATTCCCATAGCTAAATAAACAGAGATTACGTCCTAACAAGAGTGTAGGGCAACAGTAATAGACACTTACTGGACGGAAAGCTAGCAGCGGCTGAGCGAGGATCAAAGTTGTCAAAAAATGAGGGAAGTTGCAACTCTATTACCTGCAGCATTGTCATACAATGAAGGCCACAAGTACATGAGTATTAACATGGAACCAAAAAAGCAAAAGGAAAGGGAAAATATTATTTGTGTACCATTTAATATTTGAAGTGCTTTCACAAATGTCGATGAAACAATATCATTCAGTTATCTCTATTAGTTAAAAGTTGAAACACAAGACATTGCTAATCTATAAAGAGCTCCCCCACTTCTGGTGATTTTCTTGACCTTTTCAAATGGAGGAAGAGTATCTGAGTATGGCATATGTTGATTGCTACTACAAATTTAATGGAATATACATGTATATATGGCACATAGGTTAGATGGACAGTCTCAAAACAAGGCCTACTTCCAAACCAATCATTAATATGACTTGTATTTATGTTCAATGTCTTGATACCAAGAAACCTCGAAAAGATAAAAGCATAGCTTTTGCTAAATCCAGACATACAATTTTTACTTAGATCCGATGGTTTTATCCACAATTTTCACTATCCAGGTACCAAAAGTAGCAGTCATCATTCTATCGAAATGCCTAGACGGATCTCTCTTCTTTTGTTTCACAGGTTCTCATTATGGTAAAGATGATGTGGGGCATCCGGTACTGCATAGAACATCACTCTTTTGGTATTTATGCAAGCAAGAGTGATTAACATATCAAAACGACAAGCGATGTAATTCCTTTAGAACAAAATATCTGAATATCAGACAAAAAACAAATGTTAGCATGGGCTCAATAAAGAACAAATACAATAGTACTCAACAAAGTCTCAAAACAAAAACTTAGAAGTAAAAGGGTATTACTACACTATCGAAGCATTCAACATATGTAGTTACCTCTAACAGGTTTAGCCCCATAACAATAGCTAAAAAGGAAGCAGCCACGGGCAATCCTTGTCCTATTTGTCCATATGCCTTTCCAGCAAATGCAGCCGCAATACCCAATAATGCTAGTGTGGTTGCCAATCCCAGTGCAAATGCAATTGAATCTCCAACAACCTGTACACAAGGATTGCTTAAGTGTTAAGAGAGAAAATTGAACTAGTACTACGCTCTGGCCTCTGGTAAATTTCCAATTGGAAAATGCAGAATTCTGCAAAGCTTTGTGCATAAAATAATTTTCTACTTTCTAGTACTCCTTTCATATTCTATACGACACCTTTTGGTTGACACGGAGTAGAAGATATCAGTATGACTTCAATATAAACATTAGTAGAAATATTGAAGTACCAATTGAAAAACTAGTTTGATGGAGAAAACATTAACTTTGATTATTATTAGTTTTTATCAGTAAATTGTCTATATTGATGCACGACAGTAAAAAGCAGATGTTGGGAGAGAGCTACAAGCAACATTACAAGTTGTGTAATGAACTGAGGAAGTCGATCATGGCATCCGTTAAATAAACATTTGTTGTGATAGAATTTTATCATAACGAAAATCATAAATGGACTCATCATCAAGAAATAAACAACCATCATTCACCACTTACAGGATTCGCAAGTAAACCTTTACATGAGATTCAAAAAATTTGAGGTAAAAGGATTCACATATAAACCTGTCAAAATTTTCTGTATGATCTATAACCTAAGTTCCTTCATTGAGAACAATGCACATCAAAAGTGCAAGGATAAAGAAGAAACAATACAAAATTAAATTTAAGAGAAAGGTTTTTACCGCTACTCGGCTTTTCCCAGAACCAAAAGCCCCTAAGGTCATTTCAAAAGATCGTAAAATCGTCAGAGAGAGAGAATATATGCTGCATATTTAGAGAGAAAAGATTCAACTTCAAAGTTCCTACCAATATAACCAAGGGTCAGAGGCAGTACGCTGAGTGTACAAGGCGACAGACTAGTTACAAGCCCGGCACCAAAAATAGTGGCCAAACTGCAAGGAGGAAAGTCTAAGAATCAGAAGCACCAAATTTTATGAATACATTATATGAGTACCAGATGAAATTTTCATGATTAAGATTTAGACCTAGTAAAACTAAGAGCAGTCAACTGGCCCTGAACAGCTTCATTAGCTTGTTGACCAGCAGAATACAGAAGGCCACCAAAAAGATCTCCAATGCTTCCATCAGCTAATGTATAGACAGCGCTAGAGAAATCCTGAAGTCAATGAAGACAAGTATAGTCCCCTTAACATATAATCAGTTGAAGATTTACCACTGTTTTATGTGAAATACATTCCACTAGGAAATGAATACTTAGTTCAAACTGCAAAGAATCACAAAAAAGGTCTCAACAAAATGCAATTAAACACTGAAAATACAAATCAATTGGGCCGACACTGCAGGTTATAAGTGGCTTCATCAACATGTTGCTAGCCGGAATAAGACATTTCGATAACAGGTCAAGCTTCCATCCAAGTGTACATAATTTCAATAGCTCCCCTCAAATTTTCGAGATTTGAACAAGGGTCTCACATCTTATCTAACCAAGATTCAAACTAATGTGTCGTCTA